AGTCTAAGAGAAAGACTACCCTAAATCCATAACCATGGAGAAGGCAACAAGAAACCATTCAACTTTCTCATGAAAATCATGGCAAGTCACAGATTATAAAGAAAAGAGATCTGTGATGATCGACAATCATCTATGTCCCAAAGGAATAAATAAAAAATATATCTTAATTGCAGAAGTGCAGATGATCAAATGACTGACAGCACTGAGAATGGAATCAGCAGGCTACAAGTAGAATTGTTTATATTCATTTCATGCTTCTTCTTTCAAAGCATAAATCCACTTCTCACTCCTTACCCAGTTATGGGTAAATGGTAGTTGGGGGTCCCTCAGCTCTGTAAGACTGTCTTATTGGGTGTCTGACTAATAACTCAGCCTTGTAAAAATTCACTTGTTAGTGAAAATGCAACAGCATCACTTGGTGTGCTTTGTGTTTCACAAGGAATCCACACAAATAACTCCAAGCAGTTAATGTTTTAATTCAGAACAGACATACTCTTTCCATCATAAAAATTTCTCTTTTTTTTTTTTTTCCAAAATTTTTACCATTTGAACTCTAGTGGTTGATGGCTAAGTTCAATCAAGATGTTAAAGGATGTAGTGTTAATACTATTTTATCCTTCCCCATTTCCTTAGTGCCAGTTTAAGTACCCTGAGGAGTATAGAGCCACAGCTTTACCTTGTTAGGGGTTTCATTTGTCATTTCCATAGCAAGTAGGTTTTTACAGGGTAGATTTTTTGAATTCAAAGTTTTCATTCTCCTAGACTAGTTGGCTGTCATGAGTAGAGAGTGAAGTCTGCCTTGTTATTCAATCTATAGCTAAAGAAAAAAAAAGATGGATTCATAAATTTCCCAAAAGTTTTTATATGAAAGTGAACACAATGAACTTGGCAGGCCAATTCCATTTTCTGTAATGTTAACAACTATACTAAATGCACAGGAGTAATATATTATAATAGTCACCTATTTAGTTCTGATCCTACATAAGTCCTGCTTAACATTAAGTGGGAACTGATAATGTTAATACATAAAGTCTTATATTTGGATTCTCTGTTTTTTTTAATGTTATCTTCTATCAGATTTCAACAACAGGTTAATTTGGTCATAAGTATTTAAATATACTTATAAATAATCCAGACAAGTAACTCTTGAACATTGCACTGGTTTTGATATGTTGATAACAATAAGTACTTGAGTTCTACTTTTAAATCTTATTGCTATACTCTGCTTAAAAATTAGATCTCTTTCTGATTTACTCTACAGGTTGGCCGCATGTGAATGTTAAGAAAGCAGAACCAAAAATAAAAAAGTTGTCCTCACCATGGGGGTCCTGAGCATCACATCTGGCCCACAAAACAAATCCCCTTAAAAAATATAAAATACAATAAAAAAGAAGCCAAACACAAACATTGCCACCAAAGAAAAAAAACATGAGTTTATGAGCCACCAAATTTGCTTTTAAGAATGCCACTCATAACAACTGAAACAGATTCGTTGCAAACAGGCAAGCTTCAACTAATCTACTACCATGACTTCAGTTGGCCAACCCGATATGTGCAACAACCCCAAGTCCTACCAACTCTACCCTTCCTCCAAGTTGCTTCTCTTGCCTACAAAGAGACATTCCACTCACATCCTCTGTATTTGGCAATACAAAGAATTTATATTAATAATTCTTGTCTTCTCCTTTCTCCTCACCAGCAGTACTTCTTGTTTTATTTGTTCTCTCATGTTACCATACACATGTTTATAAGATTATTAATTGAAATTTACTTGTTAGATTTTTAACCAGGCTTTTCCTTTTTACAAAATTAGAATTTTTAAATACTTTTTGTTACATTGTTAGTTTTGCTTGTAACTACTTGTTATGTTGGTAAATATTGGTTGAATTATACCTTTTGATTGTATTATTTCTTGTAGCTAAATTATGTTTGTGCTTTTGTATGCTTCCCAAAAGTATTGTATCTGTTTTGTAGTCATACAATGAGATGCTTTGTCACTCATTCTTGATACTAACTTAATGCTGTCAATGACAGACTTGAAAATTTCCTAAGTTATCACACACAGCTTGCATACATAGCCTGGCTCACTCAAGTTCTACCTTCAGGATCATTTGTGGATTTTAACATAAATTAAAATCTGCATGTCATACTTATTTTTGTGGCCAAAAATAGGCATTATGTTAGGCTACTATGTAACCAATGAGAATCACTCATAGGAGCATAAAAAAGAGCAGTGTGCCCTTTTTTCCTTTCTTTTTTCTCCTTTTGGACATTTAGCCACAAGGCTCAGCTTCTTTTTCATCAGTTCATCACTGTAGAAAGATGTCATATTGACATCTCCCAAAATGCAGTCTTTGCAACCAAGACATATTTCATAGTCCTAAAAAAAGTCTCAGACATTTGTACATTTCAGATACAGATATTTTATATACCAACCACACTTGTACATTTCTTTCTTATTTGTTTGTTAGAAATTATTTTCTCTGCAGCTCAGACAAAATAGTTTGAGTTTTATTTACTTGTTGTATCTTGTATGATTGGCTTTCCTCTCTCTCTTTTTTTCAAAATCTGCTTTCTACAATTACTAAGAATTTTTTTTTTTTGGGGGGGGTCTGACAGTAACATCACTTGTTACTTTCAGGCAACATGTGTCTTTGAATGTAGTTTAAGGAATTACCTTTAAAAGCTTTAGCTAAGAAAAGAATAATACCCACAACACACTCACATTCTACCATTAATATGTGATAGTAAATATTAATAGGAGGAGGATGTCAGCAGTGGTAGTAGTCAGAGGGCAGTAATGCAATTAAAATATATAATTTTGTTTAATTGTAATAATTGTTTAACTGTAATATTAAATGTTAATAAGTGAGGTCTTATATGCCATAAGATATTGTATTTCATTTTAAAGAAATATTTAAAATCTTAAAATTTGAATCAAAAAAACAGTTTACATCATCTGATAAAATCAAAACTATAAAAAGTTAGCAGCAACAAGAATCATCACACAAGATTTGACTTTTTTTCCTTTCTGGCTTTACTGAATCTTACCACTGAGTAGTAATTTATACAGCAAAGTTTATTTTTAATCTAATTTAAAGACTACTAAATATTTTATATTTCAAACAGCAGTAAATACATTAATCTATTTGAACTAATACAACCATCTTTGTTGTTATTGTCACATTTCAGCCATTATATCCTTCAGTCTTCTTCAATTGTCTTTCATATTCACATATTTTAGGAACTAACTCCCAAGAGGCTGCTTCCCCAATCACTACAATCTTAACCTATTCAAATCTAGGGTTTTATGACAAAAATCTAGTTAACCGTTATCTTTCACATATATCCGTATAAGCTGTACCTCATGTTCTGTAACCTTTTACCTCAAGTGGCCCCAGGGCTTTGTACAAGGTGAACACTGTAAAAAAAAAATGAAATTTCAAACCAAACCGTTTATTCCATCCACAGAAGTAAATTACACTTATTTCATTGACCGTGCCAAGGGAGATAACTTGTATTAGTCAATTTGTTTTAGTGCCTGCTTTTTCTATTGAACCAGAAGCTATGACTTTCACTGCCTGATCTGGGGTTTGAATTTATGATCACCATCTATGTTATTTGTTCCTGCTAACAGAGGGATCTAGTTAAAATCCAGTAGTGACTGCTTCAAAACAACCTCTGCATCTGCAGATATCTTATGGCAAGTTGAAGTTAAAACAAATATCATTGTGTACTTCCAATTGTTTGGCTGATTAGAATCTGTCATTTCATAGAACTTGAGGTTTTTGTCATAAAACTATCCATGAGAATGTTCTGCAACTGCACAGTCATTGGATAGAGTCGGCTCAGCCCATCTTGGATGAATCTCAAGACTATACAATAATAAATAGGAATTATGAAAACCTATTTTTTGTTCTTTTACTTTAAAAAAATAACCCCACTCTCAGTTAAAACAAAAAATGTCTGACTCCTCAATAAAACAAGATAACTCGTTCACCAAAAAGTTGGCAAAATGAATGTGAAAAAGGAAATAAAAGAAAAAAGTCAGAATTACTTTATTCAGTTTTTATAGTAAATTTTATGATTAGAAAGAATCATTCTTTGATTTTTTTTTGATGCCTTCTACATTTCTAAAATAAAAAAATAAGCTTATTTGATTTCTTCGAAATATAATTAAAGAAAATCCTCAATGTGAAAATCAACTACCAAACAACATTAAATGTAACCTGGTTACCATTTTAAATGCCCAAAATTATTAAAACTAACTTAAATTATTTAAATGTTCCAAGCATTGAATTAATAAAGTATTTCATTTTCATTGAGTTTAACTTTTATTTACTTTTTTTATTATTCCATATACTAAATATAAAAACAATTATTAAACAGAATTAATATCTTTTTTAAATTAATAAATGAATTAAATATAAAAAATAAGATATTTTTAGTTCAAATATAAGTTTTTATTACAAATTTTGTTTGAGTGTATGACTAAAGTTCTTGTTGCTTTTATGTAAATTTGTTTTTTTTAGTGAAAATCTAACAAGTCACATGCAAATATCATAAAATTAAATTGCCTATGCTCTGTCAATAACCTATGAGTCTCCTATGATTAATATACAACTGGTCTATTTCAGTATGTCCATTTTCTTACTAAACTAATATTGAAACAATATAGGATATTTAAACTGTTCTTCCTTAGGTGCCATGTTTGATTTTGCTAAGACAATCATGTCACATTTTGATCTATTATTGACATAGCAGGAGAATTCCTACAGAAGCCTATTGTTACTTTCTACAGTAGACTGGTTGCCAACCAAGGGTGTAGGACCCAGTTTGTCCTGCTATTTAACCCATATATGGTGGAGAACAGATGGATTCATATCTTTCCCAAGGATATTTGCATGTAAGTAAATGTAACAAACTTGACTGAAATTTGAACACAGCTTTCCAATTTCTCATTCTGGGCCATTATCAAATAAACCCCATGCACATTCAAGCTGACAGCACCTGGTATTCCCAAGCAGTCACCCATTAGATTAGACCAGGCTCTACATTGCTTAACTTTGGTGTTCACATGAGAACCAGTGTTTCAATGTGATATAGCCATAATCTATAGATAATTGAAAAGAAACCTTATAGAAATTAGTTAAACATCTAATTTCTATAATGATTCATTTAATGTAAAAATCAATCTTTCAGATGTTTAATGTGAATCATGTTTTGTCTAGATGCTGTAGGTTTTGTTCTTGTGAAATAAAATTCTTTTACTGATGATGCTGGATTATTGGAAAAATATATCAAGGTAAAAATTTTCAAAAGTGTCTTATTTCTTTGTTGAATTTCTGTTGGATTCTAATCCAGATTTACTCCCAAGTATAATATAAAAATCTTGCCAAAATGATTGTTTGCGGTTTATTTTTTTGAAAATGTACAACATTTAATTTTTAATTTCTAATGTGGAAATTTATGCTATTATAGACAAATTTTGGAGAAACAGATTTTTCATCATTTCTTTGTTTTTTTGTTTGTTTGTTTGTTTTTAAAATTGAGACCTTTGTTTAGCAGTTATTCCTCAGAATTACCTAACTGGTATTTGCTTGTGTTGACAACTATTTTCATACAGTAATTTCTGCATCTCATTTTTGGTTTTTCAGCCTTTTCAGTTCCCATATTTGGCAAGCCTTGATTTTTTTTTCTTGATGGTCCAAGAAAACTAGTTAAAAAAGAGTCAATTTTTAATAGTAACAACATCTTGACTCATAGAGAAAATGGTAGCCTTTATCAAAAAAACAAGAAAACTAATAGGAAAATAAATCATGAAGAATTTCTTAAAATGAATATTGTGATTGAAAGTCATCTCTTATTACACTAATATGAAAATTAAATAAGTCAATACAGAAAGAGGCAGAGTATAAAAAATGCTAAACAAAATTATCTGCTTGAGAATGATAAATTTTTTATTATCAGTCAAACCACTGACAGGACATAGGTCAAGTAAATATCTTTTTCCAGCACTTTTTCCCACATTTTTCAAATAAGATTTTGTTCAAGTCTTTTCATTTTAGATATCTTTTTATTGTTGTTTTTATTGTTGCCTATCTTCTGGACTAATTTTAGGCTTCAATAGATATTGATATGAAGTGTAAGCTTAAGTGTATAAAACTCTTGACACTGTTCTTGGGAACAGTGAACAAATAAAGCTATTCCCTAGGTCTGAAATTGAGACATTTTTTTCTATCACTGTAATTATATAAGATGAAATATATACTCCACTTAAATCTTTTTGGTGAGCTTTATATTCTGAGCACTCAATGTTGTTTGTTATACAGAAATCATTTGGCACTAACCAAGGATTATTTTTATGTTTTGGAAGAATATATTTGGAGACATGTTGGACCTTATTTAATGTGATCATTTTTTATTTAAAAATTCAAAGTTTTGTTGGTCACATATGTTAAATTATGTTTCCATTTTTACTTATAAAAGATTAGTTGAAATCAATTATATTGAAACATGATTTTATTTTATTTTGGATGCATGGCTTTCAAAGCCAAAGCGGGGCTCAGAATATGAGTTTAATTCAAAATTTTTAAAATGAACGTAAGGAATTAAATCAGTGATTATTACACAGACATTGTTTGAAACACTAATCTTAACAATATCCAATTTTTCTTTGTTTTTTAATTTTTTTCTTACAGCAATAACTGATACTAAAATCAGTTTTGCACAAAGAATGTTTATTTGCATCTTAAAATGCTGTTTTCCTTCATAAAAAGCAAATATTTGACTTTATATTCATTGTATTTAAGATAAAATTGAAAATGCACATTTAAACAAATCTTAAATATCCATTTTTTTTTTAAGTAGGAAATTTTTGCAAAAACCCTAGCATTCAAGAAATTTCTGTTTGAATTTCTGAGATGAGGAGTTATCATTATTATATACACTATCTACATGCAGACTATTGTTAAAGTCACAGATACATTGGAATAATGGTCAAGTTAATAGCACAGAAAATAATAATCAGCAAACTGAGTTCAATTTCCAGACAAGGTAGTTCAAGTTCCCCTATCATTAATGCTCTTGGGAAAGACATGAATTAACCTTTTTATAATAAGTCAGATCATGAGTTACTCCTGCTGAATGTAATTTGAAGAGGCAATGGCAACAAAAAGTTACCTCATTGTCCTAAGAACTATCATGAAGTATTCAAAATGATCTCTTTACAGTCTATTTAGATCAAGGGATAATCTGAATTTAAGTTTGCAAGTTATGCATGTCTTCTTATTAAAAAGTAATCATGGTGGTTATTGTTGTAAATAGGCTTAAAAAATTGAAAGAATAAAAGGTTTTATTTAACATGATAGTTTTATGCAGTGTCTATAATAATCTCTAAGGAGTGTAGTGTAAGGAATAATAGTGTGGAAAGAAGCCCAGTTCAAATCAGAGCCTAATCTGTTATATTCACTTCTTCATAAATGCTCTAGCCTTGGATGGTAGTCAGTCTAGAAGAAGGACAATTCTGAACTCAAAATCATTGAAAAAGGAATGAGAAACCTCTCTACTATTTTTTCCAAGAAGTCATATCATTACACAGATAATAAAGAAAAGTAATCTATGGAGACCCATGATTGCCTATGTCCTGAAGGGACATGGCATTTGAAAAAAAATGCTCTCTAAATAACTAACCTTCCTCTATGTGTGACTTTCCTAAATGTGAAAAATAACTCAGTCTGGAGAGCATATTTCAGGCTCTAAAGTACTTGTTCTATTTGACTCATGACTAATATACAACTGCTGAAGACATTTTCCAATAAGCTAATTTGTGATCAAGACAGACATCCATAGTTATTTGTACCACATGGTTATTGTTGCTTTTATACAATTTTTTAGGTATCTCTTTAATCATTCACTAAACATTCTAACAATTAGGACAGGAGTCAACCAATGTCTAGTTAAATCTCTAAGAGTTAATGTGGTAAAAGACTCTTCTGTCAAAATAGAATTAAATTTGGTAGTGGTAGTATTAGTATTGTCATGATGTAGGACATTGATTCTAAGCCTAGGTAGTAATGCCCTCTTTGTGGGCATTATGAACTCTTAAAGGGAAGTAAGTGTTCAGGGTCGTTATGGGAAGAGTGCTATAATTTTAACAGGGTAATAAGATATTTAAACACTTTGAATCCTGTTTGGGACAAATCACAGCATTTTATACATGAATTTCTTTATCTTTTTTTATTGGTTAATTTGTGTTATGCTTCACTGCAATTAGATCTCTTTTTGATTCACTCTACATGTCAGCTGGATGTGAAAGCAAAATATAAAATAAAAAGTCATTTTCTGTGCAGGGGCTCCAGGCATCATATGTGATCCACAAAACAAATCTCTGCAATAAAATACAATAACCAATCACAAACATTCCTGCCACAAAAAAGATGGCCATGGGGGCCACCAGATTTGCTTAAAAGAAAGCCACTCATAAACAACCAACACCAGGTGAGCTGACACCATCACCTCCATGATTGTCTCCACCATGGCCTTGTCCAAGCTTCACTAATCTCACCTGATTCTTCACATGCAGAATGCAGCCAACACTACCACCATGATTTCTAACACCTTGATGTCTTCACTATCCACTCCAGGCCTCCCTCATTGTCACTATCATGACACCATTTTTGTTGATCTCCCATTTGTCATTCTGCTGCCAACCCACCAATGCACCCCTTGTATCTGCAATGTTAGATTCATGTCTTCTCCCAATTTTTCATGTTCGCATCCTCTGCATTAGCAAAGTCAGATTTGTTACTACCCCCAACTTGTCGTGCTTATATTGGCAAAGTCAGATTCATGACTTCACCTGACTTTTCACACTCACATCCCTTGTACTCTCAAAGTCAGATTCATAGCTCCCTCATCATCACAACCATAACCCCATTTTGTTGATCTCCCATTTGACTATAATCCAACAGAGACATTCTGTTTGATCAACCTTCACTATCCACTCCAGGTCTCCCTCATTGCCACCACCATGACTTACATTAACCTTTGCCAATGTACCTTACTAGGCAGTGCTTCAACATCTTGGCCTCATCACATGACCGCCAAAAGACCTCACAGATGTCGATTTCAACCTTAAAGAAAGGCATATGTCAACCCCATCAATAAAATTACATTTGGCTTCACTGATACGCTCCAGGCCTCTTTTGAGACCAACTACAACCTTGGCCAAACTCCTGGCCCTACTGATAACATGCTTACACCTAATCGCTTTCCTTACCAAGAGAAACTAAGGAACCACATATTAACACTTTTTGCCACCTTTCACACAACTATGTATATATTCTGAATTTTAAGCAATACATGTTGAAATTCTAATCCTTGTTTCTTCCTTTCCTTTGCAGACATATGCTCATTATAACATTTGCTTACATACAAACATTAATGCAGATCTGTACATTGTAACAGCAACATGATCATTCCATGTGACAAAAGGTGAGGTTATAAGTAAATGGTTTCATACTAAAATACTGTATTATCAATTTTTTAAATTTATGATCTTATTTCATAACTGATTAAATATTTTTAGACTTTTAAAACTGAACATTGATTGTAACACAATAATTAGCAAGTTCATTTGGAGAACTATTTCACTAGTATAGAGAGTTTGATTATCACTATGTATACACTATTGTGGTCTTGTTCTTGGCTAAACTCAGCTTAGTTGAATGCAGAGCTACAATTAGGATCACAGATACAGTAATAGTCAGTGCCAAATTTAAGCATACACTAATCAAATTACAGAATTTTTTTGGAGGACTTTTAAAATTCAGGTATAATATTTTAATACAATCCACCAAACTTTATATAGCTTTGGGCCTCATCAAGTTTAGCACAATATTTGATCAGAACAAAACTTTGTAATGTTTTAATTTAAAAAATTATTGAAAATTGTATGCAATTCCCCTCAAATATTTAGTTGGAAATCATTCTGAGAAAGAAGAAACAATCTGTAAAATTCTTTCATCTGCCTTCATATAATTCTTCAATTTTAGGAGGAGGTGGAGGTTGACCTTCAATTAATTGCTATTATTCTGCTAAACCTTACTA